GGATCTCTGTGAGTTCGAGGCTAGCCTGGTCTACCAAGTGAGTTCCAGGAAAGGCGCAAAGCTACACAGAGAAACCCTGTCTCGAAAAACTAAAAAAAATTTAAAAGTGGTGGAATGCTTGCCTAGCAAAGCCAGTTCAAACCCTAGTGGCACAAATTTTCAAAAGAAAGAGTGATATGTAAGAGAGAAACAACAACAGGAAGTGGGTACGCTAGCTCACCCCTTTAGCCCTCACTGCATAGGCAGTTGAGTGAAAGGACTTCTGGAACTCGGGAAGGTGAGAACAGCACGAACAATAGCAAGAGTCTACTCTTTAAATAAACAAATCACAGATTTTGTGATCAACAGTCTTATCGAAAATAAAGAAAAAAGTGCTGTTATAGAATATCAGCTGAAGATGTATTGCATTTGTTTATGCTGTGGAACATTTGTTTAATAATGCAAAGATGTGTGTATTCTTTTATGATGCATTTGTTTAACTCTGTGAAGCTGTGTTGCTGTGCCTGTCTAAAACAGCTGATGGTCTAATAAGGAGATGAACAGCCAATAGTGAGGCAGGAGACAGGATAGGCAGGGCTGGCACATAGAGAGAAGAAATAGGAGAAATTTGGGAAGAGAAGATCAAGAACGGGAAAAGGAGGAGGCCAAGCACCCAGCACTCAGGAAGCAGAGGCAGGAGGATCTTTGTGAGTTTGAAGAAAGCCTGGTCTAGAGTGAGTTCCAGAACAGCCAGACTGACACAGAAAAGCCCTGTCTCAAAAATAATAATAATAATAGCAATAAAATAGAGAATTGTTTAATAACAGAGTAGACCATGCCCAACAAACACAGACATTAAGGTGGAAATTTGAAAGCTAAGTAGACAAGAGCCTCTCTCTCCTTCCACACTTCTCTTACCCCCTTTGCCCCTTAACTGACAAGGACACTCCAAGAGAAACCAATGTCCATGTGTAACAGGTAAAAGCTTCTTTCCCAACAACTACTAGAAGAGCTTAGAAGGAGACTGAATGCAAAACCTATGAAAATTACTTTCAGCCCCCAAAAGAAGAACCCTAAACTTACCTATGTCGATTCCTCTTCGAAGAGTACTTTTATCAGAATCCTGGTGCCCAATCAGATCTTCTACCCAGTGAATATAGTTGAGTCTCAAGGGAACTGTGGGAATTAGTCTCTCTAAAGGAATATCAATAGAAAGTCCAAAGTCTTCTCTTAGGAGAGTACAAGTCAGAGCTCTGACTGCTTCAGGGTCTTTGAAATTAAGACTAAGGAGCAGAGACAAAGACCAAGTGATTAGTATGTACCACTGGGCTGCACTAGCTCGTTTGCCATATCAAGCAGCGACACTAGCAACCCAAGTCCATTTGAATTTCCTAACGTTCAACATTCGGCACAACAGCAGACACACAGGGGTGCTGGACACCTTCAGAGTCTATGAGCAATCAGCAAGTTATCCACCAGAATGGCTGCATCCACACATGCACCACAGCCCAGAGGTTAAAAGGGCCTCTGTTCCAATTCCTGTGTGTTTCCCGCCTTAGCTGTAGGACTCTAGACAAGCCATGCAGACACTTCTCTCAGCTGTTAAGGGTAAGAGTACCAACATCAGTGCCATGTGACAGTCTCTGAAAAGAATACAGCTCTTGATACTGAGTGGTTGTTTTTTTTTTCTTTTTCTTTTCTTTTCTTTCTTTCTTTTTTTTTTTCTTTTTTTTTTTTTTTTTTTTTTTTTTTTTTTTTTTTTTTTTTTTTTTTTGAGACAGGGTTTCTCTGTGTAGTTTTGGTGCCTGTCCTGGATCTCGCTCTGTGGACCAGGCTAGCCTGGAACTCACAGAGATCCTCCTGGCTCTGCCTCCTGAGTGCTGGGATTAAGGGCGAGCACCACCACTGCTCAGTGCTAGCTATTTTTTCTTTTTTACTATCACCAACATCAATGAACCTAATACAATTCTTCAAAACCTCACTCAAAAAATGGGAGAAAAAAAAAAACAGCATAATCTTCAGTCAGGTGTGGTAGCACACATCTTTAATCTCCTCACTTGGGAGGTAGAAGTAGGCAGATCTGTTAGGTTTGAGGCCAGCCTGGTCTACATACAGGGTTCCAAAGCACTGCCAGGGTACATAACAGAGACCCTGTCTCAAAACAAAATAAACAAACAAAAAAGTACCAGGCCTGGTTTGGCACATGCCTTTGATCCCAGCACTCAGGAGGCAGGATCTCTGTGAGTTCAAGGCCAGCCTGGTCTAAAATCGAGTTCCAGGACAGCTACCGATGTTACGCAGAGAAACCCTGTCTCGAAAAAACAAAACCAACTCCCTCCCTCCCCCAAAAATTCACAAAACTTAACAAAATATTGTATTTTACTCCTGACAGAAATAAAAGTCTATCTTACACATTCAGAAATCCAGTCAAGTAAGACACTAAATATATTCACATTCTATTCCACTATACTGGCTAATCTAATATCCCATCATACTATGTGTAAAGTCTTAAATTTTGAAATGTAAAATTTTAGAAATTAAGGAAACCTAATAACCTAGAAACACCTTCTAAAACAAAATTTGAAAGTGTCTTCTGAAGCGCATACCCAGAAGCCTAAGCCCTGCCTTACAACTTCCCAACGTTGCTGTGCAGTCGAGCTGTGAAAACCGATGACTGCAAATCCAGGGGACTCAGTAGGACCAGCTTCAAGACGACAACTTTGGGAAAGAGATACGAACTAACCAAATGACACAAGGTCTTACACCTGTGGACAGTGACAAATCTTCCACGGCTGAGCAGCTACTCAGGGGCCATGTTCTGAAAGAGCACTGTGCCAGAAGGCCACCACTGTGCCAGAAGGCCACCACTGTGCCAGAAGGCCACCACTGTGCCAGAAGGCCACCACTGTGCCAGGCTGGCCCTGAACCTGGAATTCAAGACTCAGGAATCCTGCTTCTCAGGCAGGGGGATTACAGGAATACACCATTGCATCAGGCATTTACAAGGATACTAGGGGAACAACTAAGGTCACTGTGGTTTAAAGAAAATGGCCCCCAGAGGGAGTAGCACTATTAGGAGGTGTGGCTTTGTTGGAATAGGTGGGGCCTTCTTGAAGGAAATGTGTCACCAGGGGGTGAGCTTTGAGGTCTCCTATGCTCAAACTTTGCTCAGTGTGACACTCAGACCACTTCCTGCTGCCTGCAAGATGTAGGACTCTCAGCTACTTCTCCAGCATGTCTACCTGCACACCATCATGCCCCACCATGATGCTAATGGACTGAACCTCTGAACTGTGAGCGAGCCCCAACTACATGTTTCCTCTGTAAGAGCTGCTGTGGGCCTGGTGTCTCTCACAGCAATAGAGACCCTAAGGCAGTCGGCATGTTTGCACAGCAAGCATTTTCCTGACTCAGCCATCTTTCCAATCCCCAACTTTTTTCTTTTATACATGCAATATGGTCATTATATTATCTAGGAATGATACATTTCTGTAATTTTTTCCATTAAGTGGTCTAGAAGGTGTATTTAATCCTAGCAATCTGGAGGCAGAGGCAGGTGGATCTCTGGGAGTTCAAGGCCAGCCTGGTCTACAGAGCGAGTTCTAGAACAGCAACCAATACGCTGAGAAACCCTGTCTCAAAAAATAACAAAAAAGGAGGCTGGAGAGATGGCTCAACGGTTAAAAGCACTGGTTACTCTTCCAGAGCACCCTGGTTCAATTTCCAGCGCCCACATGTCATTTCACAGCTGTCTGTAACTACAGTTCCAGGGATCTGACACCTTCACACCAATGCACATCAAATAAATTTAAATAAATTAATTTTATAAAGGGGGGTGGGCTGGAGAGATGGCTCAACTGTTAAGAGCACTGCCTGCTCTTCCAATGGTTCTGAGTTCAATTCCAAGCAACCACATGGTGGCTCACACCTATCCATAATGAGATCTGTTGCCCTCTTCTGGCCTGCAGGCATACATGCAGACAGAACACTGCATACATAATAAATAAATAAATAAATCTTTTTGTTTTTTTTTTAAAAGGAACAAAATTTTAGAAATTAAAAAAAAATTTTCTCTCTCTCTTTTTTTTTTTTTGGTTTTTCGAGATAGGGTTTCTCTGTGTAGCTTTGAGCCTTTCCTGGGACTCATTTGGTAGCCTAGGCTGGTCTCTAACTCACAGAGATCCGCCTGGCTCTGCCTCCCGAGTGCTGGGATTAAAGGCGTGCGCCACCACCGCCCGGCTCCAATTTTATGCTAAGCATAATTGAAGCACGCCTTTAATCCCAGCACCCAGAGGCAGAGGCAAGTGGATCTCTGTGAGTTTGAGGCCAGCCTGGTCTACAAAGTGAGTTCCAGGACAGACAGGACTGCTATACAGAGAAACCCTGTCTCCAAAAAAAAAAAAAAAAAAAGAAGAAAAAACCACATACACACCCCATTATCACCACCAACAGCAACAATTAAAGAGAAAGAAGCCATGAATTTGATAGAGAACAAAGGGTGCATAGGAGGGGAAAGGAGGAAAGGGGAAATGGCATTATTATACATAATTTAAAAAATTTATAATTTTTGGAAAGTACCTCCCTGTCTCTCTCTGAAGCCCCCACACACTACAAATACACAGGGTTGGGGTATAGCTCAGCAGTAAAGTGTTTACCTAGCGTGCACAAGAAACCTGGGTTTGACCCTCAGTTGTATAAAACTAAAATCTATGGTCAAGCATGGAAGAATATACCTGCAATCACAATTAAGAGGGAGAAAGATCTTTTCAAGCTCAAGGCCATGCAGGTCTACACAGTGAATCCCAAGCAGCCAGAGATACAGATCAAGACTCTACAAAACAAGACTCCTTAAACATACAAACATACTCTCTCATTCTAATAGACTACAGCACATGATTTACTAATGAGGAACTATAACCTATCACCAAAAAACACTGCATATGAAGCAGAAGGAAGACCAATGAAGGGAATAAACAGAAACCTATGAAAACAGATTCTTAGATTCTAATAACAAAACTGACTGTTCATTTTTTAGTTCTAAGAAAAGGCAGATAATATCCAAGTGTTGGAAATCCTTTGTAGGGCAAAGTCTAGTCACCCAACTTCACTACTTAAATATCTAGGTCACATTAGCACCCTGGGACACTGCGAAACCTGAACACAGGCAAGATCTGTTTTTATTCTCATTTCCAAGATCACAGGGGGAACTAAAATTAGCTCTCACGTGAAAATTAGCATTTATTCATTCCATCAGTCCTTGTTGTTTGTTTAATTAACACATGCAGCTTCACAAAACAGCCTATTGTCAACAGACTTCTGATTGCCCCAGAATGATCCCCACTCTGCTACAAATGAATACTTTATTTGTATCATCACTGGAGATGAGTTTTAGAATATGCATTTCCACTATTCAAGGATGACCTAAGAATCATTCTAATACAGCAGAAGCTGATCCTCAAGTTCGTCAATAAACACCAAAGCCTGTCACAGCCTTGTTGCAACCCTGGTCTGGGTCACTGGATCATCAATGAGATGATACTAGTTTTCACTAGTCACCAAGTACAACTAACCTTCCGTGTTGGTCTTTGGTTTAAAAACAGAAAAGTTAAATGTCACACTGTGTTCAAGATCAATTAACAGAGCTCAAACAAACAACAGGCTGTTGCTATGGAATTGGTTACTATGAAAAAGCAAAACCTAATTAAATTGCAATGATCTGATACAATTTCGGTAGGAAAAAACAGACATCATCACATCCTCAATACTGGCCATCTCAACCCTATTAGGCTTCCTAACAATAGGGGATATCTACCTTTAATCAAATGTTTATAATATGCTATCATTGTGCATAAATTATCACTAACCTTTATGACAGCCATACAAAACTACATTTTTTTTACCTACATTTAGATGAGGAGACTCAGTCTCTGTAAAACCAGAAAATTACCTAAAACCTCAGTTGTCAAATGCCTTCTTTAAGACTGTTATTTGGACCTGAAGAGATGGCTCAGCCACTAAGTGTACTTGCTGCTCTTCCAAAGGACCTGGGTTCAATTCTCAGCACCCACATGACAGCTCACAGCCACCTACAATCCCAGTTCCAAGGGACCCAACACCCTCTTCGCCTCCATGGAAACTGCATGCACAGGGTACACAGGCACCCATGCAGGCAAAACGCCCATACACATAATTAAATTTTTTCTTTAAAAAGGATTAAAATGGAAGAGGGGGTACACACCTTTAATCCCAGCATTTAGGATGGCAGAGGCAGGTGGTTCTCTGTGAGTTCACAACCAGCAGGGTCGACAGAATGAGTTCTAGGGCAGCCAGACTATACAGAGAAAGCCTGTCTCCAAAAACCAAAAATAAACAAACTGACACTATTAAAATGAAGTGCCTGCACTGGGTGTGTAACCAGACTGTAACCTCAGCACTCAGAAGACTGAAGTAGGAGGATCTCAGTGAATCTGAGGCCTGATGAGGCCAGAATGAGTTTCAGATCACTCTGAGCTAGTGAGATCTTGCCTCAAGAAAATCTAATTTGCCTAGAATACAAGAGGCCCTAGGTTTGAACCCCAGGACTGCAAAAATAAATAAATAAAAAAACTCGCCGGGCGGTGGTGGCGCACGCCTTTAATCCCAGCACTCGGGAGGCAGAGCCAGGCGGATCTCTGTGAGTTCAAGGCCAGCCTGGTCTC